GGTTATTTAGGCTATTTCGAATGGTTTGCATCTTTGAAGGACCCAAGCCAAGGAGCGCATTATCGCCCGCTTACTGTGTCTGTGAGAGAGCGCCCCGGGGAACACTTCGATCCCGGAAGCGTCAGAGGCAGGCGGAGGAACGTAAAACAACACATCATTTACAAAACTAAGGGGAAACGATGAGAGGTCAGCCCTGTCTTACCACATTGGACGTGGTGTACGTTCGTACGCAGACATGGGATTTCGCATGCGATGCCCTCGTAAGGGATAAAAATTTGGAAGGTGCACCTCTGGCCACCAAACGCCGCCAAAGCTTCTGACGATCTACAGAGCCAAAAGCAGCTCTCAAATCAGGGAGAACGACTAACGTGGGGAAAATATATGGTTGATGCATCGTCTGCCAGGGCGAAACCCAGTTTGACTCCTGTCGTGATAATCGATCAACCTACGCAAAATAATACAATTTGAATGCCATGGCTACCCGACTAATGCTACGATGGTTTTTGCACCCACTTACGCCCTTCTTGAAGTCTGCAGCCACTATCGATGTACTTCAATCCAGTGGTACTGTGTTCGTCCAAAATGGTCCACAACAGGGTCATCAGACCGTTCACCAATGCTTCACCACCTTTGGAAAGTGCGAGGTGCAGACCACCCAGGTCAGGCGTACTTTTGCGTTGGATGAATGATATCTCCATCTGTTGGTGTGGATGTTTTCGACCATCATCTATCAAGCAAGCCACGTTTTCCACTTCAAATTCTTGTTCCAGAATAGCCCACGGAGGACATGCCATGACATGTCAAGATGGGTGCTGCGAGGTCGTCGCGCACTCGAACGCGGTTAGAAACCCTACACGGTGTAATCGATACCACTCCTCTCCTTGCTTTTCACTTATTATGGCCTTATCCGTGACTGTATTGCAGTTAAACACGTTTCCACTAATGGTGTGTTGCTGTCCACGATGATCATGCATAAGGTGGGTCAGACGGTACACGGTAAACAGAGATGGATGGAATGGCAGTGGCATGCTCTAGTCTATCCGCTTTGCAATAAAAAAGTGTCTAGATACACGGGACAATAAATAACGCGCATGGAAATCATTTCTTTGGACGCTCTGAAGTGCACCCTTTAAAGGAAATCCAACGCTACACCAGTGATCCAGGTTGACTTGTTCTGACCTCAAAATATCAATGACTAAAACGTACCACGGATCGACCGAAAACATATCAACAGAAGAATTTTGTCTATAGACACGTGAATTTCGGATTCACACCATTCATCACCCTTTTAACGTAAATACAAATGGAACAGTCAAATGTACTGTCCCAAAACTAGCTACCTTATTGTCAATCCATACTACATTGAGATCTCCGCATATTGTATTTTGTGTTCTGCTACTACATATGGCTTCTAAAATATGGAAGTAGGGCAAAGGCAACCGGATCACATTCATGTCACCCGAAAAACTCTACCGACCGCCATACCGAATTAGAAGCAAATCACATGAAATAGCCAACTCAAAGAAATTAAAGGTGACCCACTCAGTAAACACATGGGTTGGACACTGTTCCAGCAGGCAGTTGACATCACCATTCCAGGAAATTAACACCATTTAACCCATGAGTCCTTCACGGTTCACTACCGTAAATGCTTGAGTTGGTTGCCGGCCACTCATCACCAGGTTACGAGAAAATATCATGTATTCAGAGGTTTCGATAAACGAAGCTTGTCAACTGTACTTCAGAATAGCAGTGTATTCCTTGTCCATGTTTTCTAACATTACAACGTGTACAAAATCCTCACGAAAGGAAGATTATCTCAGAAATGTCACCAGTGCACCTTTGTATCGCTAGAGCTAACATGGAGACTAAGACATAATTAAAAACCCGAAATCTTAACTAAGAAGCGAAAA